CCCCCTTTCCCCCAGTGTGTGTCTCTTTCTTTTGCGTACAAATCGAACGAGGGGGGCCCGAACCGCGATCCCTATCGATCGCCGTCGTTAATCGACCATTGCTGAAACACAACGAATTAAGTCCTCCCGGTATTTATAGCGCCACCGTCTGACTACTGACCCTTTCACCGCTGGCACGCGCGTTCATATGCATCAACGTCACTTATCGATTCCAGAGTCATTATGCGCGAGTCACAATCTCATTACGCGGCTCGAGTAATCTCGAACCTCGTCCCCAGCGTTCTCTATCCTTCCCTGTCTGATCCGCTGGAAATCTGTGGAATGTTACTCTTGCAGCTACCACAGACCGATTAGCGGTAGAGTATTCCCTTCTTATAGTCGTATCAATCGGGAATCAGAACGCGATTATAGAGAGGGGTGGACATATAAAAATAAGTAAGTAAGTCTTTTCAGGCAGTGGAAGTGAACAATGTAGGATAAAATTAATTTGAATGAACCTTCACGAAAAGAGGAGCATGTTTCCAAGTACTTTCGTCTCGAGACGCTTGATTTGAAACGATTTCAAGGAGGCGAACAATTTCGTCGTTACGCAACAACCAAATTACCCATCGCTCGACGAGTACGTGTCAATGACGATCGGTTTCGAATTAATTATCATCGGAATTCGCGTTATCGTCGGGCCACGTGTCCGACGGACGTTCCGCGTTGCGTTCGCTTCGAAAGTTTCGCCGGTCGAATTACGGGCCGATACATAATTGAAAAAGCGGTATAGCATTTATGCAATATGAATCGATGGCCCGCCCACCGTCGCCGCGTCTTTCCAACCTCCTCCCCCAGGTGGGAGCCGTGGCGGTCTCTCCTTGTTTCCTGATCGCGTGTCTCCCGCCGGAAACAAGGGGCCATTCCTGCCCACGCGAGACCGCAGAGCTTCATGAAAAACGCAACGCCACAATCGAGCCACGTTTCGAGCAACAACCTGTCATCGCCTGCCTTCCCGAATCGACGCCTCGATGTCGATGCCCTGACGGTTGGCTACTCGCGATCGCAATTACCTGCTCGCGAGTAGAAAACGATTTTTCGTGGGGGATATCGGTGGAAAGATGATTCGAGGAGTTCGTTTAGGATTCAGATGACAAGGATGGATTTCTAGTGAAGGAAAGGGATGAAAAGATCGATGATATAGGCGGACGAGTACATATTTAATGCAATGTGAATCATTGTTGGGGAGAATGTGAAGAATCATATATAGACAAGTCAAGAGTCTTTTACCTGTAGATTCACCTGGTAGAGTGCCTTAAACATCTCAGATAGTGTTCAGTAAAAATGCACTAAACCCATTAACAGTTTATCCCGAATGAGACTCAGACACAACGCAGTTATCATACACGACGTAATTATTAAAAAAAGTACGTGTAAAACATGTTATTTGCATTTTTTATCACGAATAGAAGTAATTTAGTTTCATTGCAGTAAAAAATATAGAGAGAGTGATATATATCGGAGGAATTGGCTCAAGAGGGTGAAACAACCCCCTTTCGGATTTTACATTCCACCGGCGACGAACGGCAGTCAAAGCCGTGCATGAATCGTCGATCGTTCATCGTTCTAGCACGTCTAAAACGTGAAAAGTGTAACGGCACGTGATGCCCAGCGTCGTCGACGTCTCTTTGGTCGCCTTTGTGTCCCAGCCAAGCAGCCGCGGATCGCCCGCCTCGCACGTATATTTAGTCTGGCCAGTAAAACAATGCAATTGGCCTCTAGGAAGCGCTACCCGTCCCACGAGCGTTCGCCGTCAAAATACTATCCAATTTTATGATTCTACGAACGATTTCGGTTATTTTCCTCGTTCACATAGTGGCGTACGGTTGACCAACTGGGTGCATAACTTTACACTCTAGATACTCGCGCGGGCCGTTACGTAACAGCGTCGATTTTTGTCTAAGAAAAGAAATATCGCCTACAGAGAGCGAATAAGGTCAACTCGAGGTATATTTATGAATTCGGCATTTTTTAAAAGCTCGAAATTTTCTGCAGATACAAGAATGAAAATAGAACGACGAAAAGTATGAATGAAACAATGCTATTGTAATGTATATTTTAATTTTCGAACCTCATTGTTCTCGCTGCAGTACCGAGTAACGTCAATCTACAAAAATATGCCTCTATTTCTACTATCTGGAAATTGTAGAACCCCATATACAGTCTCATTACCATGTTAATCGTACGACACCACGTTCCGTCATACCGATCCCATAATTATTCCGAATAAATTCTTCATTATTTCGCGCAATAACCAGAGAAGATTTTATCGTCGATTGCGTATGTGTCTCGGTCATAGAGAGGCCTGGCTGGCCGCGCGCGTTGCGCCGTGAGCGTTTAAAAAGAATTAAGTAGTTACAGACGTGCCAGCTCAGACGGCCGCGCCGGCTCGACGAACGTCCCGCTAATGTCTGAGTCTGATTGCGCCTAACTACTTGCGCGTCGAAACGCCAACCGCGCGATTACACCGAGGGGCCTATTCACGTCCATCTACTCTCGCGAACGAGACGTGTCCGCCGTTAACACGTGAACGGTTAGGAAATTGAAATATAGAACAGTGCCTCGGGCTCGAAATGTTTTTCGGAATGAAATCACGAAACTGACGACTGAACGTTTTCAGTGTCCCCAGTAAGTAAGTTATAGTGGAAACTTGAACTTTAGCTGCAAACGTTTTACCCCGCGTAATTTTCAAGCCCTCTATTAACCCTTTAACGCCCCGTGTTGCACCGATGCAACACTCATTTTTAAAGTCCATCAAATTATGTCCCCGGTTAATATCTAACTTTTTCAGCGAGGATCCATAGTTTCACTGATGTAAAGTAGATCACGTTTTCAGTCGAGCACTTCAAGTATGCCCTCAAAAAATAAGTGAAACAAAATAGGTCTGTTTAATATCGATATTTTCGATTTCAAAATAACAAGATATACCATATATATTATTCTCATAATTTGCAAATAACGATTTAAGAGTCCGGCCGTTAAAGGGTTAACAGATCCTCCAGGGAAGGGAGTAAACGTTCTCGATAGAACTCTGTCTCTGTAATCGCGATTCGCGAGGCTTCCCTACACCCCGTGTTCTCGAGTACGTTTCCCCACTGTTTTTCCAATCGCCGAAACCAGGCGTATATCGCCGATCACGTGCCCACGTAACGATCAGACTGACAGGTCTGATAGGCTATCGTTCGAGAAACGGCCGGTTAACTGGCCTGTACCGCAGGCACAAACTGATCGATTCAACGCCGCGGAAGTCATAAGCGGCTGTGATTTACCATTGTCACGGCCGTTACTCTCCCGCGAACCTGACAATCGCGGTTTTCGCAATTCGCGCGGAGAGCCCTCGGGGCCACGGTTGCACGAGACACACGGTGACCGCACCTGCGCTCTCTTCCACACGGTGGTTATATTTGTTCGTTCTCGTGCTCTCTTCTTTCCTGCGCTTGGGCAGGTCTCGTGCGGGCCAACTATGCACACGGAAAAGAAACGGTCCGCCTGCCTGCCTGCCTGCCTGCCTGACTGGCTTGCGCTCGGCCGACTGCCAGACTATATTTACTTTAACGTGCCGATTACACCTGTAAAACGGCCCTCCCCCCTGTCGGTATGCTATGCCCGATCGAACACCCCTGAGACGTCTAGATCGGATCATGGTGTCTATGGTCGCGACAACGGAAAGCTGAGGAAGTCTTCGAAACGTGCAAGTTTTGAGAATTTTTGTGAATTTCTAGATTCTCAAACAGTGTTTCCCAATTTGGAGCGTACGTCTTGACTAGCGAAACATTGACATTCGTCACCTCGTCGAGAACAGTTCTACATGTGTGCTTTTTTTTATTCGAAGTAGCTATTAATGTTAAACTTTTTTCAGAGCTTCGTTTAATATTATGGTAGGCATCGAGATCTTTACAAAGATTAGGAAACACTGACCTAAAAGCGAGTTTAAGCATCTTGAAGTTGCTTAGAAGTATCGAGGTCCTGGGCCTAAACCGCGTAACCGAGCACGAATATGGAATCTGTCGCTAGGTGCAAAGAAACAGACGCGGATGAATAATTTAGGTGACCGATCAACACACCCGTGACGACTGATTCAACTCTTCAATAAAGAAAATATCTCTTTTTTTTTTAAACGAAGGCTATTTAACGACCGAGACGATAATGATGATGGTGGTGATTGCAAAATGAAGTCAATAAATGTGTTAAACGGGGAACGCGGTTGCAGATGTATTAACGCTGTTTTTATAAGAATCGGTTTACTATTCTCACCAAAGCGGATCCACAGCCAATCGCGGAGTTGCAACCTTTAGATCCTTTACGCAGCTCGAATCGATTGGCTGAGGAGAAACGAACGAGAGGAGAAGGAGGGGGAGAAATCGTCCCTTGGCTCTATCGTTCGCACCTCGTCTCCTTTTCGCTCGTTCTTGCCTCCTTAATGCCATACCCATTAACCTTTTTCGTTTTCCAGCGAGAACGCACGCGACTTCGCTCGACACGCTATTGTCTTTGCGTCTCTCGGCCCGTCTTCGGGCTGTTAAAGGTCTCCGTGATCACCGGCAACGGTGATCAACGACAGACAAATTAAGACAAAATCGATGGGACCAAGCAGAATCGTACATTGATCGATAATAAGTTCGAGAGGAGACACTAGTTAATCTAGCTTCTCGTATCTACATCTTTACAATTACATAAAAACGAGCATAAAATTTAACCAGCGTTAAAATGAAGATGATCAGTCCGTGACAACACGAAAACTACAGTGTCGATCGATCCATCTTCATCATCATTACCCACTGTCAATCCGACCGTCACCACCACCATCACCACCACCACCACACCTTCTAACCACAACCTGCCAGCCATCGAGCGAGCATGTACAATCCTTCGTGCACCGATGGGGTAAATTATTACAGGACGGTCCCAAAGTCTTTTTTCTCTTTTCTGCGTTTTCTGCTTTTGTTTAAATCTTAACTTACACTTGTTCCAATGATCGTGGCGTTGCGCCGCGTGATGCTCGAGGTTCCGATGATGGTCATGATTGTTGTTGGTGTCCGCCGCGATGGTGACCTGGTGGTACGGTGTAGCGGGCAGATGGATCGTCGTCGAACGATCTCGTTGATCGTGATCGCGTTCGTGATCGACGAGTAGATGCCTGCCGGTGGTAGCACGCTGATGGGTGGTCGCAGCATCGGCCGCGGCCGCTTCCGTGGCTGTGTCCTCCACGGTACGCATCGCACGTACGATCAGCACTCTCGCGCCTCGTTTTTGCTCGTCTCATTCACCAGGCCAACGAGTCGACCACACGGCGGTCGGCTACTCTCCTGCCGCGGACCACTTTAAATGTCCCCGCGCAAACGACGATCGATGGCCGCGACGATCGCGACCATCCTAACAGAACTGATCCTCGACACTTTTTTCTCGTTTCCTTCCTTCGTCCCCTTCGCCCCCGTGCCCCTCTACGCAGACGCGCACACGTGCGCGCAACCAGAGACAAGCTAAACGGACTAGCGAGTTCGAGATGTTAACACGTGACTCCTGATCTACGTACCTCGCCACGAACTCTGGATAGGATCATTGGAAATCGATGAAGTTCACGACGAACAGATACGTTCTTTTCCGTTTCTGATCTAACTGGGTTCGAATTGTCGAGCAATTCTGAGTACAGTTCGCAAGATTCATCGAACGAAACGGAACAGGAGATGATGAGCGAACCGGGTGAAAGTGAAAGGGGATGAAACGTGATAGTTGGAACGTGCCGACGAAAAGCTCGCGGGTCGATAATTTCTTACGGGATCCGTAAACACCGGTTATGCACCAGTCAGCAGTGTGTCATTATCGACGTTGGTAAAAAGATCGAAGGCGGGACAAGAGAACGGAACGCGTAAGTGCTCTACCGATTCACCCGAAACGCCCAAACACACACCAACTCAACCACAACACACGGAAAACAGAGTGACAGAGATGAAACAGCGATGATGCGTGACACACAACACGTGGATCACCGACCTGTATTTGTCGTCGTAGGGCTAGACGAATTCTTCCGGACGTCTTCGGAAGTCAGCGCTCCATCAAGGAGCCCAAACACTTCTGCCCTGGGCACTCGCATGCAGACTCCTTGAGTTCAGTCCTCTGCCACGAAAAACTTCCTCCAATTTATCGTTCCTCCGTCAACACGTTCGACATCGTTTTCACTGTTTTCGTCGTCGTGTGTACCGAGTTCTTCCAACCGATCGTGGAATCGAACCTCTTCAGCATCGGCTCGTATACAATCCAGTCCCTGGAAGAGTCTTTTCTCTTCCTTAGGGGTTGTACCAACCAGTCGGCACAAGGCACAACCGAGTCCCGTACGCGGAACCACGCGAGTCAAAATGCTTTAACCTCTCTTTCTTTTTCACGCGAAACTCAAACACAACAATGTCCTTCGCTGCACCAACGTGTTTTCTTCCTCGTGTGTAATCCCAACGCCTTCTCTCACTCAGGGCGCATGACTGTTGTTACGAACAGCTGAATTATCGCTGCACCAGGGAAGAAACGGAATCCACGGGAACGGTTGTTAACAAGACAGCCGTGGTTAGAAGAGAGAGAGATAAATAGAATCGATTGCTAGCGCGAGAGATAGGATGGAAGATAGAGAGAGAGAGAAAACAACAGCACCGAAACGTTTCGACAAGAAAGCGACACGCTCTCGCACGGGTGGCCGGCCGCCGCGTAACTGAGTCCGGATCGCGCGCGTTCCTCCGCTATATTAAAACCGTAGCGTGTGTAGCGACGGCGGCGGCGGTGGTAGCGGCGAACGGCGAACGGCGCTAACGATGACGTCACCCAACTCGGACGTCATAACCCGGGACACACGACAGCAGCCGGCAGCGGATCGATGGACCTGGGCTACGGAGTGAGCGTCCCCTATTGGCCCACGCGGCCGATGATGCCGCTACAGTGACGTCAACACACCACCTACCGACCACCACCCGACCCGTCCTCCTCCTTCCATCCGGATATCCAACCCCACGCAACCGAACCCAAACCAACCCGACTCGACTCGACCCAACAACAGCGGCACGCGGACCTACCGATGTGATACACTTCGTCCCGTCTCTTTCTAACATTCTGGAAACTGTTCGGAAACTTTCTTCCCTGCTCACCGGCGCGCTCTTCGTCGCTCCAACGAACTATTTGCATCTTCCGTTGTCTCTCTTTCCCTCTTTCTCTCTCGGTTCGATTCACACGCTCAGAATGTTCTTGGGCTATCCACCGCCGTTGCCAGCGACGATCGCCGCTGAATTATCGATGAACTGTAAATAAATTGACGGTTCCCTGCCCATTGAGGGCGTAGTCCTCAGGTGGATTGACGTTATAAGATACTATGGATCCTACCCTGATGAACTGTTGGGAAGTATTGTAGGAGTGCGACAGGTTTATGGCTTGCCTATTGCAAGTGCATAGTCTTCAGTTTAGGTTTGGGTAATGTATTGCAGAGTCACTCGATGTGTCGATGGCCTATAGGCGCTGCACGGTGATGTCTGGTAGTTTTAAGGGTATGAGAGAGAGAGAGAGAGAGAGAAGTGGGTGACCTGAGTATTTGCAGAATACTGAGTAATTGCACGCCTCCCCCCCCTTCAGTGCCGAGGAGCCTTGAAACACTCATCGATGATTTACTGTATAGCGTGGATCAGTGTAGTTTAGCATAGCAGCGAAGTAGAATGGTTACATATAATCTTAGGCATAATGTATCATTTTATACTTAGTTAAATATACTTTAATTTATATACACTTCGCAAACCTTATTTCATGAAGCCCATCCAAATCCCACAGTATTATAATATAAGTATATTTATTATCAGTAAAGTTATATGTTTTCGAGCTAATTTTGTCGATTGTCTCCGACATGTTGGGAAACAATTGCGTGGTTTCATAAACGCAACGAATCGAACTTCAGTTACAGGTGTTCCCGGTCGCCCGTAGGCGGTGTGCTACAGAAGGATTCGAGAGATGCGTGCCTTTCTTCATTCTTGTCGCGATCCCGTCCCCGAGCTTAATGACAGCTTTGCTGTCGCATAAATCAATTTCTATTATTAACATTACAGAATGAAGCCGCATCGGGTGGAGCGAGGAAAATCGATACGAAGGGTCTGGGTTAATTCACGATCGAACAGGTAAAACGCCTCTCAATGGTTCGCGTTGTTGCTAAGGATTACGAGCCATTAAGGGTGATACTGGCAGATACTCAGACGTCTCTGAATACAACATTTTCCTCGTCGTAAAACTATCTAATTAGAGTTCACAGACTACAAATATAGTCTGGTTTAGACTAAAATTTCTATAAATCGTTCAATGGAAGCGTCAGGCTGACGCACAGACGCGTGACTGAACTAAAACTTGGATTCTTCTGGAATCTGCACCGTATAAAATACGTCACAATTCACCCTCTCTAACGTGCGAACGCGTGCGCGCGCGTGTTACTGCGGCATCGTTACCACCGCTTTTCTGGGTGTACGAGCGTGGTTCACTGGCGGCAAAGCAACTACGTGGGAGTACCAGGGATCAGACAAGGATGAAGCAAATAAACGGGGGATGAAAAGAGTGGGAAGAGTCCATTTGCCGGTGGATTGGAAAGAGATGTAGCTACGATTCACCGTGCCGAGGGGTTGCCTCGCACCACGTTCTCCCGCTCTCTTCCAGTTCCCTCTTCCCTCACGACTCCACACACCACCTCTGCAGCCTTCATTCATGCATCGCTCCAAAGCTACCCCGCTACCCCTCAGCAACCCGGTGTATATCCTCAGGCGACCACAGGCAACCGCGGTGACTGGTGCACGCGTGGCAACGCGGAGGCGTAAGCCGACGTCGCCCCAGTTAATCACCCGTAAGACGAGGCTCACTTCGACACGTGACGAAACGGTGGGGCTCGTGTCGTGGTTCGTGTCGTGTCGGCCACCTGTGAAAGGACCGCTGATCTGGAAGAGACCAGGCAGAGAAGTATAAGGTCGTTCGATAGACGGCACTTCTTTGCCGAGAACCGAGCCGCAACACCCTTTGACTGGTAATTTCTAGGTTCTTGGAAACATGAGGATTTACGTTACACGCGGTAACGTCTTGTTTGTACGTTGTGGTCTCCCTTTAAAGATAGGGTGTTTCCCAACCTGGGGCCTTACGCACTGATTCGATCGTTCCGTGGATCGGAATCTTCCGGTAAGACATTGCCGGCCCGAAGGTCGCCTGAACTATCAGAAACAACCGGCTGCAGAGTACGGCCACACCGAAGCATCGGTGAGTTTCTGGCCGTGGCAGAGGATCACAGAAAAAAAAAACTCGTTTGCCTCGGCACGCTCTAGTGACACAGTGACGAACTGGATGATGGACAGAGAACTTTTGGAACTCCAAGGAGATCAACGAAACCGAGCGTTATCCAATCGTTTCATGAATATGCAACGCCCGCGCGGGGGAACTTGTGCTGACACTTTTGGTAACGATGTACTGGACAAAGGAAAAAAAAAAAAGAATTTACAACATTCGCACGGTGAATGTGAGGAAAAAAATTCTTGCAGGATACTTCTATTAATTCCAGAATGGAATTATCTTTTAATATCGGGGATGGATATCGTCTCTTCTGACGGCCTGTTTGCACGATCACGTGATCGACTCAAAATTATTTACTCGTTTTCTTTAATAAGCTTCACCGGGCCGCTTTGTGGCCGATGCTTGAGGATCATTGTACCGTGTAACGTTACTCGGGAGGCAACACCGCGCGTAATTTTTTTATTAGGTTGTGGGGATGACCTTTCTCCCGTGTAATGCGCTCTTGGTGGAAAAGCACGGATGCCCGTGAATCTCTCTTTCTCTCTTGATCAGCAGCAGCAGCATCCCTCCGTGATATCGCTTTTCACTCTAAGACTTCCCGTTATCACTGTAATCCAAGCTTCCCAGTATCGATTAACATTTTTTCCTTCCCAAGTCGATTCTGCACGTGTTCATTGCGTAAAGTGTCAGAAACAAATCGACAGAGATCTCTCTGAAAATACATCGACTATCAACGTGTCATCCGTCAAGTTTACCATTGGTCCCAACCTCCGATCATCCGGCAGATGAGTTCTTCCAGTTTCACAAAATTCTACCAATTTCGTTCAAGGCGATCTTGAAGGTCTGGCCACCTGTTTTTTTTTTCTTTTTTTAGAAAGTTGTTCAAGATCAGTTTCTCGCGAGGCAGTACACAAAGAGGAACCTGCACCCATGCC